GGACCTAATGCCGGGGGCTTAAGTGGAGAGGAAATGTTTTGAGAATGATGAGGGCAATGAATGTACAAATGTGCTTTACACAATTGATGTATGTATGGACTGTGATAAGAGCTGTCTGAGCCCCTAATAAAATGATTTAAAAAAAAAAAAGCCCTGAGCTGGCAGCATGCCTCACGTGTGGAGGAAAAGCAGGTGGTCTGCTCTGGGAGGAACAAGAGAGGCTCAGGTGAAATAAAGCCCCAAAGGTAAGGAAAAGCCAGGGCATGGGGCTTTACAGTTCTGAGTAATGACTTTGACTTTGAGTGCCTGTGAATTAGTTGGCAAATTCTTGGGTCATTTTTGAGGAGCACTAAGACTGATTCTGTTTTAAAATTTTTATTCTGATGCCTGGAAATTGGATGGATGTGAGGTATAAATGCAAAAGAGAAGCCAACGGTCATCGTTTGGGTTTAGCAGATGGATGGCTTCCGTTATCAATAATTGACCCAAGGCATACTGGGATGGGAGTGGGGTTGATAGCAGCAAGGACCACAGGTCAGAATTTCCATTTTGTAAACATATGAAGTCTGAGATATCTGCTAGAAATCCACTAGCTTTAACAGACCTTATATGTGGTGTTACATAACAGACCTTTGAGGGAGGCAGGGGCATCAAAAAATTCATGGAAAAATGGGACTAAACGATTTTTCCCCTCACAGACTTTGAAGTCCCATGGCATACGAGTTTGAGTCACAAGTATTGCTACTAGGGTTCCCGGGCATACACACATGAGCTCAGTCCAAACAAAACACGTTTAAACACGGCTCTCTGTGATTTGTGGAAGGATGCAGACAGAATTTCTCAGTCACGCACGTGTCTTTGTCGTGGAGGGGACCTGCGAAAAGAGAGGTCCAATGGAAAGAGCAGCTTCTCAGGGGCTCTTCTGCGCAAGCAATTCAAGCAAGAGAGATCAGCTTGGAAGGCTATGGTAACCCCTTTGGGTGACTCCCACAGGGTTATCTTGATAGTTTTTAACAATCAAATTGAAAAGTGTATTTGTGAGAAAAAGCCAGGAACGTTGTGCCAGTGGGTCCTTGCTCACTAGATAAAGGTAGAAAGGGCTGCGGGGAAACCTTATCCCATCTGCCCTACAGCCATCATTTTGCCCCTTTGGAATTGTTTTTGTTCTGAAAACTCAAAGAACAGAATTTGAGCCTCTCGATGTGGTCAAAGCTGCTGTTTTGATATGGTATAAATAGAAATAAAAAAAAATCTTCTGGAAACGGTGATAGAGCTGAAGTCATTACCTGCGGAAGAGCACAGACTTAAGAGGAGAGCAATAATCGCTCCACACCTTGATACTTGTGTTAAAGTGTGGTTTCCGTGTTTTAGAGCAATATATTTTGACTTACTCATGTGTGTGCAGACATGTACACACATACATATATAAATATGACCATGCACACAGCACACAGTTTTTGCTGTTGTCAGTCACTGTCCAGTCAATTCTGAGTCTTGACAATCTCATGTGTGCAGAGAAGGATCGCTCCGTAAGCTAGGGTTTTTCTGAGGCACCTCTGGCTGGCAGGGTTGTGAGGGAGTGTGTGGGTGGGTGGGGGGTGCGTGGGGCTGGGGGGCGGGGGTTTGAATCTCCCGCCTTTTGGTAAGTGATTAAATGCTTAATGGTATGTGCATCCCATAGAAAATATACAAGGGTACTTTCAAAAGCTCCCAGAAAAATTCCTTTATCTTTCCACTCCATTGTTTTTGTCAACTCTTTGAAGCCACCATATATGTATATATGTGTGCATACACACAAATAGATATACATATATACATGTATCTATATACACTATATAGATGTATATTTATACATAGTGAGAGACTAGAGAAAAGGGAAAAATAATTTTCTAATGATATACCACAGTTTATAGCAACACATTTCAACGATATAAATACTAAAAATCGAAAGCAGCGTAAAACATCTTTGATGCTAAATTCTAATACACTCGATGGATTTCCCTCTAAAACAGTGAGAAATTAAGTTGTCGTACTGATCTAGGATGCCCTGTGCTGCTAAAGCTTGGCTTGGCTCCAGGGGTCTTCCATTGATGGCAAACTCCATGATACACCCAACAAAGTCATGGCTTTCCACGTGTCCTCTCCGCTGAAGGATGGGTTCTAGTGATCTGATACCTCCAACTGTGACTCGATTTGGCTGAACATCAAGAGTCCTAAAGGTGAAAGGAAACATAAGTATATTAGCATCCACTAAGTTTGGCAGAATGTGTAGTGAATATGACTTTTTCTGCCATATATTGCATCAGGATAAGTTCGGATAGAAAATAGCATCTATTGATGCATGTGTTCTTTATAGAGATACCTAAAGAGTTGTTAGATTTTGCAAGAATATGGAACATGATAAAACTCATCAAAATAATGTTTCTAGTCCGTCCAATTAGAATTATCTAATAATATTGGGTCAGAAGAAAGGAGTGTAACAGTAGAAGTAGTAGTGACTCTAATAGTGAGGTCAGATAAATCATTCCTTCACTACAGACCTGATAAGGGATGCCAATAAATTGATTACTGTGCTGTTGTTGCTGTTAGGTGGTATGGAGTCAGCTCTGACCCATAGCAACCCTGTGCACAACAGAACAAAACACTGCCCAGTCCTGTGCCATCCTCACAATTGTCTATGCCCGAGTCCACTGATGCAGTCATTGTGTCAATCCGTTTTGGCCAAGGACTTCCTGGTTTTTGTCGCCCCTCCATATGATTTCCTTCTCCCAGCTCTGGTCTCTCCTGACAGTATGGCCAAAGTCTGTGAGTCAAGGTCTTGCCATCCTTTCCTCTAAGGAGCACGCTGGCCCCACTTCTTACAGTGTAGATTGATTTGCCCTTCAACAGTCCGTGGCACTTTCAAGATTCTTCTCCAGCACCGTCATTCCAACGCATCTCCTATGATCCTCGGTAGTCACTGTGCAACTTTCACATGCACATGGTGCAATGGGAATACCATGGCTTGAGTCAGGCACACCTTAGTCCTCAAAGTGACATCCTGGCTCTTCAATACTCTAAAGAGATCTCATGAAGCAGGTTTACCTAATGCAATATGCCTTTTGATCTCTTGACTGCTACTTCCATGAGTATTGATTGTAGATTTGAGGAAGACAAAATCCTTGACAACTTCAACCTTTTCTCTATTTATCATGATGTTACCTGTTGGTCCAGTTGTGAGGATTTGGGTCTTCCTTACATTGAGTTGTCATTCATACTGAAGGCTGCAAACCTTGATTTCATCAGCAAGTGCTTCAATTTTTCCTCATTTTCATCAAACAAGATTGTTTAACATATACATAATATACTTATTTTAAATGTATAATTTAATTTTTAATATCAAGTAAATTATACATTCTCACTAATAATGTTACTTACCAGTCATCTGAAACTGCCACATTACTGACAGTGCAATATCCTGGTTCTTGGCTTTCAGAGCAAGAGTCCACAGTTAAGGAAGCAGCCTACGAAAGAAGGAAAGGAAAGGTTCACCTTGTCACGCTGATCCTTTGCTGTTAACACCATGCAAGGTATGTCACTATGCAACACTACGCAGATGTGAGTTTGAAAATTTTATAACACGTTGGTTTAATGTATTATATAAGCATATATAATACATAAATTAATTATGTGACATATACAAATAAATAATTATCATATCATGTCAAGTTGTGAGCACATATTTCTTTATAACAAAAACAAAAAAGCAGTTGCCAAGAAGTCAACTCCGACTCGGGGGGACACACATGGAGCAGAGTAGAAATGTGCCCCCCAAACTCTTCAATGACTTATTTTGGAGGAGGTTGATTGCCACAATGTTTTTCCAAATGTTATGGACAGCTGTTATGGACATCGTGCTCTTGGTTTGCCATGGAACACATTCACTTGTGGGAGCCGCTCAAGGCCTCTGTATTTCTAAATAAAGCCTAAAATTCCAATTGTGATATCCTTACATATCATAAGTTGTATGGCACTTGGAAAATTATCCCAGTTACCTTGTCTTTTTGATAAAAGTATTAAAATGTCGTTAACCTCTCTTAAAATATGAGACATTAGGGTCTGGACTGCTTTCTCATTTTAGGAAATATATTTATCCTACTGTCTAGCTCTTCTAAAATTGCTGCATTGAGAAATATGACTAATAAATCACAAGGAGAGAAATAATCCCACATCTAAAACCACAGGAGGATTTAAGTAGATAAAGGACTCTTCCTAAATATATATAAATGCCACAAAACAGAATTCCTCCAATGTTGCTTCATTTATAGAATCAAACTGTTAAGAACCATGAAGTCTCCATTTACTATAACTCAAGATTTATTTTTTTAAAAAGAAAAATGTACATGTAGGCAACCTGGGACTAAAGGTTAAGCAAACGCACTAATATACTTCTCTTAGGTGCATAGAGAATAGTTACTAGTTTTTCTTCCAGAATTAGGCAACATTCATTATGTAAGGAAATGATTCATTCCTTAATGCTCCACCATTTATCAATATATTATATGATTTATTAGGAATTGCTCATAAAAATATATAGCTAGTTGGGAAGCATATGCCTAAAATATCTCACATTTTTGAGATAGTCAATGGAATCAACTTATGGTGATTGAGTATCAAGATTATTATTTGTCAAGAAAATTTTAAGATAATTCTACCAGCTATGCTCCATACAGTGAATTCAATTAGTCATGTAAATTTTTCTTATAATTGCCTCAAATAAGTTATAATCAATAATAACATTTTTAAGAAGGACTTTTCTAATCATATGCCTTGTCTCAACCTTAGATGAACCTTTTAATAGATATTGCATTTCTCCCCAGTGATCAATAAAACTCAGTGAAATTTAATTTCAAAGGCAGTATTTGGCTATCATGATGCAGCATATATTGTTTATACTGGGTGTTTTAGTTAAGCAATACTTTTAAAATTTATTTTTGAAACAAGATTTTAACACATCTCTATGTGTAGGATGTATAGCATCCATTGTAGAGTTCTCTAAAGCTATCACAATCCAGAGAGTATCACATTGGTATTTATTGCTATAAATTGGTATTGATATGCTTCAAAATTAAAAACTTAAATAATGGTATTATATTAAAGTCAATCTAAATATTTCATGCATCTTTCTTATATTTTAAGAGCTTGGTAACACGGTTCAGTCAAAGGAAAGATACTGAGGATATCTTTTATTTGAATTGCTCATACGAGTTAATCCTTGCATTTAAAGGTTCCCCTTTTTCTGTTGAATTTTCCACTACTACCTCTGTAAATTGAGACATTCCTATCCTGTCTATGTGAAAATGAAAAGCTAAGAAGTTAATGATTTTACCATTTTGCAAGAAAATCCCTTTGAACTGAAGAAAATGAAGACTCAAAATCCAGTAGGTACCTTATTTTGGAATTCTTTCTGAAATAGGGAGGCATTTTTTCCTATGACAGAAGTCCTAAGGACAAGTTATTTTCCATATTTGATATTATTCAAAAATTGATGACTACAACTACATATTAAAACTAGACTATGAGAATTCTTTTTACATCACTCTAACAAACCTCATCGTACCTCCTTCTCCACTCTCCTTCTTGCCTTCAAAGCCTTTTATGTGAAAAGCTCAACTATTCTTGAATATTAGAGGAATCTTTGAAGCTATCACATAGAACCCTTGAGTCTACATTAAAGTAAACTCAATAATAGCTGAAGACTTTGATTATCTCACACATGCTGGGAGAGCTACTAACTTCCCTGAGAGTCAGCTGGAAGCTAATTTAAGCCCCAATCTATATACATCCCAACGAACCTTAGTGGTGCCAAAGGGCAAGTGGCTCGCTTTTCACCAAAAGGTTGGGGTTTGAAATTCACACAGAGACACGGAACGATCGGCCTAGCGAATTGCTTCAGAAAAGCCGTAGCCTGGAAAAGGTGAATCTGCACTTGGCAATGAAAAGAACAATAACAACAACAGGTTTTGCCAGAATTGGCAAAATAAAAAACATGCGTAATGTGACTCAATTTACACCTCCATTCGTGATTTTCTTGAAGGCCTGGCTGGCAAGATAAATAAGAAATACGAAAACGGGGTTTAACTTCGAAAAACGGTTTACCATTCCTGCTCTTCGTGCAATGGCAGTGTGAAAACGTCCATCTGACACTTTCTTCGTGGTGGTGAGCTTGTACGTGCCACGGCCTATGTTGTAGGAGAATCTCAGCCTTTCTTCGGCAATTTCAAGAGCCAAAAACTCAGCCCGGTCTCCTGTTTGGTTGTCGTAGTTGTAAAGTAGTAAGGCATGACTTTTAATGGTTGCAAATTTAACATAAATATAGTTGTTATTGGGATCCAAGCTGGGAAACTCCATGAATGATAACTCCTCAAATCCATAACTGTTCAACTCACAGTGTTTTCCAAAGACACCTGTAGATGGGAAAATGGACAAATAAATCAAATTCCAGGTCAATTTTATTAAGTATTTGAATACTTGGATTCAAATATTTTAAGTCACTACAATGAGTCATGTTCTTAACAACTTTTAATTTTTACTCCCCAAAGAATAAAGAAACAGGGAAATATGGTGACATAGATATTAAAGTGCACACCACAGACAAGAGAAACCTGCATTAATTAGGGAGCCGATCTGAATCGGCCTTTTCTAAGAATGACAGATGTTGAGGAAGAGGGTATATTTGAAGAGCGTTCTGTGGTCAAAAATCCTAAAGCCAGCTTGTCATCCATTTTGGTTTTCATATGATGGAATTTTTAACCGAGAAACTTTCTTTATTATGTATAACCTTGAAAAGATAAGTTTTATTGTAATTGAAGGAGATACACTTTGTTTTGATTTTTAAATAATCTGTGCCTGTGTTTTTAATAGCCACAGAATTAGATAAAGCAATATGTGTTCTTAGGGAAAACAATAATAGTTCAGTTTTTATCTTTTCCTTGTTTTATACCCTTTATGGGTATGATTTATTGAAGTCTACTTAAAATAGCTTTCTGTTTTTCTGAATCCAGCGTCTCCATTTGTTTGTGCTGGTTCCTTTTCAAATTTGAAAAATGAGTTTTATTGATGTTACAATACTATGCCAAAATTCTTTTCCCACAAATATTAGTAGACTGTGTCAAATGATTGGAAAATTAACCCAAGCCAATACATTGGATTCTTGTTAACTAATAACAGTTTCATTCCTTAATGTTGGCTGTATACGTCTTGCAAATGCATTATATTTAGGATCAGAGAATTGCTCAGTTACCAAGAACCAATGAATAATTTTCCAGAAAAGTGAAACTTGCCCAAGGTCACAGAATCATGGAAGACAGAGCCAAAATGCCAGCCCAAATTTACTGATTATCTTGTTTTGATTATTATACCTTTATTATTCTCTAAATTAAAGTCATCTAGAACCTCTAAAAAATTCTGTGCCATTTATATTTACCTTTCAAAAGGACTTATAATTATTATCACAATACCAAGCATAAGATATTTCTCACTAAATATATCTTTTTATGTCATTAAGATAAATGTGTTTATATTCTTAGATAATTATTACACTTAGGCTATATAAAGAATGAAAGTAGGAATTATATTAATAAATTTTAAATCTTTAAATGAACTTAAAGGCAAAGAAATCATACATATTTTATATATATATGCATATATATATAATATTTTAGATGCAAGGACTATCAAACAGAATAGCATCTGAGTTTTTAAAAGTTTGACTTAAAAAAAGCAGCCATCTAAGTGAGGCATCAGCTAAATTTACACGAAAGACACAAGCTTGTGTCATTCAAAGACTAAATAATAAGATCCAAATCAAAAGGAAGATATGGTATTAAAGCTTAAATTTTGAACACCCATTTGCAGAAGGCGATAGATGAAAGTGAAAGCCCAAAATTCATTTGCAGGGTTCCTATGTGGGTTAAACTTCTGGTGAATCCTCTGTAATGATGGGCCAGGGAAGGGAACGGCCTTGTTATCAGACAGATGTATTGTACGCTGGATCGCTGCAGTTATATTATGTCATTTTACCTCCCTTTTGGTCCAATGTATATCTGTTCAAGTTTTTAATATTTTCTCTTTCATTCTGAGTGTGGTTTTTGTCCGTTTTACTTTGTTATTCTTGTTGGGTTATTTGTTTGTTTGTTTTCTAATGTTTTTCTGTGTGTGGAGTACAGGATGGGAAAATTTACAGAGGTAGCAACTGGATTGCTAGTTTCCAGGGGACATGGCACAGGAGGTTGGCAGGAAAGGCGGAGCTAACAACAATGAGTGCAAGGCAGAAGTGTCCTAAAATTTATTGTGGTGATATTACACAACTATTTTGAATATGATTGAACTATTGAAAAGTATATGTGTGACTTCTATGGCAACAGTTTCTTAGAAATTAATGAGGAATCGCATCATCTATAAATTTTCCATTTTCCATGAACTTTTTGAAACTTCCTCCAACTCACTGCCATCGTCGATTCCGACTCACAGAGATTCCGACTCACAGTGACTTTACAGGACAGGGTAGACATGCTTCTGTGGCTTTGTGAGACTGTAACACTTCACTAGAGTAGAAAGCTTCGTCTTTCTCTTATTAAAACCTTCTACTATTACATAGTTACCACACTTAATAAATATAATTCTGCTAACACAAGTTTTTATATTCCATATTTATATTCATATATTTTATAAAATTTGTGTTTTCTTATATCATTAATATATTAACTGACACTATATATTTACTATAGATTACATATGTACATTATTTCTTTTAAAATTCTTTAATGTTAAAGATAAGATGACAAAAATGAACGCATAAAATAGAAAAATTAAGAGCACATTTATACTGAGTCCTGCAGTGTAATTAATTTATCTATGAAAACATACTTAAAATTTTCATGGATCCTGAAAAATGCTGTTTAGTTTCATTACATTGATATTTTATTTACAAACATGAAAATGTTTCTCTATGATTTTTTTCCCCTTAAGAGTTTTTATGGTTGTCTTGAAGAAGGTAATGCTTTTCTGTGAAATCCCAGATCTAGAGTTCAATCTAACAGAGCAAGCCTGGAGGACAGACTAGAACCCCCACATGGGATTGCTAAGGCTGTAATCTTTATAGAAATGGATTGCCACATCTTTGCCCCACAAAGCACCTGGTGAGTTTAAATGACCTTTCTTTCAGTTAGGAACAGAGTATGTAATCACTGTCCCACCAGGAATCTTTATCTTTGAAATATAATAATAACAACCCCTAATGGGATTGTTAAAATTGTTCTTTAAATGGCTGGGCATGAAATAAATAAAAATAAAGATCAAAATTTAAAAATGAAATAGTGATAGTGTTGACATATACATCTATTAACAACATAGAAGTTCCATTATCTGGGCTATATTTATAAAATCTGAAGCGCTTATGTTTTTATTAAACAGAAAATCTTCCTGCTGAGATGAGGTAAATGAGAAATGAAGGGTGAGTTAGTTAGTTTATTGTGCCAACCTGGCCAATAAACACATGTGGGATTAATTGAAGGGCGCAGGGATAAATGGCTCAGTGATCCTCGCCTTTCTTGTTCTCAGGTCTCTTGCTTTTTTATGGTTGCACCAGGGTGCAGCTGCGTTAGCAGTTCCAGCTTCAGCTGGCAAGACTGACTTCCTGCAAGACATCCCCAAGGAGAAGCCACATGGACCTACCCCGAGGCAGCCCTGGGTGCTGGAGCACCCGTGTGGAGACCCCTGCCAGCACTGAGATGTTTAAACATTCACTGACTCGGCTTTCCTCCTGCAGTCAGCATCACTGCGTCTGTTTTGTGAGATGGAGGAGGACTTTGTGGATATATGGGTTAATGTTGGACTTGTGGGCTTGGGCAGCACTGGGTTGGGGTGTTTTCTTGATGTGCGCTTAACCTTTACATAAAATTCTCTCTTATACATGAGTTGCTGTGGATTTGTTTCTCTAAAGTACCAGACCAACACAAGGGGGTAAATGTTAAAAGATGTTTTCCAACTACAGAAGTTAGTTAAAAGCTGATCTATATAGAATGAATACATACATAACTACCGACATACATTTGTTTGATCTATCACATCTGACATGTTTTATTGGCATGCTTCCCCTCACATTAGTTTGAGAAGGAAAATAACTCATTTTAATTTTCTCTCTGCTCTCCAACTATGTATTATTCCAGATTTCTTTTTCTTTTGTGTTTTGTGATTAGACTAACAATGTTAGAGTGTGAATAATGTTTTTATTTTTGCCTTTGGCTGTGATGGGGTGGGGTGGGAGGAGGCAGAGATTTGTAGTGCCGGCACCTGGAATCAGCCTCTAGTTTAGTTTAGGGTGCTGTGCTCTTCACCTTTCCTTAGGGACATCTGTCTGAACAAGGAGAAGATCCCATTGGACACCAAACACTGCCTCCAGAAGACAATAATTGTAGTAGCAAAAGTGCACAAGCGATTTGTTCCCATTTGCCATCAATTTTCTTAAACACCTATATATTAAACTGAAGCTTAAAGGGATCCTAGAAAATGTAAACATCTTTGTTCAGTCACTTGAAATTCATTTTCCATCCCAACCCCTTTTGGTTGCAAAACGCATGAACCCATGAAAGCTAACTGGGTATTTTAAAGGATAGTGGAAATTAAGGCGATGTCTTAGAAGCTTACATCTGTGGTTATTTTGAACTTGGTCTCTTTCACTCCTTCATGAACACTGTTGATGAAAATTTCAATAACTTTTCTTTTAAAGAGCAATATTGTGTGCTGTGAAAGATGTAGTGGAGCCAGAACAAAGTTTGTGTGTTACTTTTGTTTCATATTGAATTGGCTTTTTGATCTCGGTCAAATCACTTAATGACTGGGCCTCAGAATCCCTGGTAAAATTCATAACTCAAAATTAATTACCTTTATGTCATTTGTCTTTATCATTCTATTGATACTGTACTTAATAAAAACAAGCAAACAATAGATATAATCAAGTAACTACTTGAAAATGGATAACACTTGGAGTATTTTACTGGTTATTAATCAAGCAGACACTTCAGTGGTGTAGCAATTACATGTTGGGCTGCTAATAGCAAGATCGGCGGTTCAAAACCACCAGCTGCTCCACAGGAAAAAGATGAGGCTTTCTATTCCAGTCTCGAAAACTCTCTGGCACAGCTCTAGTCAGGTCGTGGTTAGTAAGAATCAACTCGATGTCCGTGAGGTTTTTTTTTAGTTATTTCAAATTCTCTTGAAGTTCTATTCTCTCCTAACCATAAATTTCACTTAATATGCCTACACATCACAGAATTATGGTCAAGGAAATACTAAAAAGAGATCCTTGTTTCTCCCACTGAGATACAGGGAAGTGCCTCTACCTACAATGGGGCCTCTGGAGATGGATTTTCTGTTGTGAGACAAAATCAGAACTCACCGGCATCAAGTTGATTCCAATGCAGTAATGCAACCTCTAAGTGGAAGGATCGCAAACATAAAACAAATGAGGGGTTTTTAAGTGGCATGGCAAGCTTCTCACAGTCCTTGGCTGACTCCAGGTTAGGTAATGTTTGGCTAAGACCTGGAAGGCTACCTTTAGTTCACTTGATTAAGGTACACATAAAAGGATGTGTATGGAATGTATATGTGTAAAACGTTTTCTTCAACGACTTTCTTCCTTGAAAGAACACATACGTCTGGATTTTGATTAGTTTTGTTGTATGTCCTATAAAAAGTCAATCATTAAAACCAGTGTTTAAAAACAAAATCCCTCTAATAGTGGTTTCTTTAATTTAAAAAGAAACAAAATCCCTCTAATAGTGGTTTCTTTAATGTAAAAAGTGGTTTCTTTAATGTAAAAAATGCTATCGTGGAGTTACTGTGATTCAGTCAACTCGACAGCACTCAGCACACACAGGCTAAAATGAATAAATCTGGAAATACACGAATGGAAATGTCCTGAGGAGACTGCATCTAATTCATTCAATTACTTTGAGTTGATTCTTTTTCTTTTCAGGAGCAAAGCGATATATTCAGAGTTTTCCATAGTTAGTTTTTTTAAATGTCAAACCTTTAAGATATTATTTTACTAACATCTCCCATGTAAAATATTTTTAATCATACCTGTGCACAATATGACACTGTTGTCAGTTGTTTGGGAAAATAGATTTGCATTTCATATCAACAACTAAATTATACTCACCAAATGGGCAGTGGCAATAGTAGGACTCAATGCCACTTTGACAGGAGCCACCATTAAAGCAGGGATTGCATTCACAGTAATTGACTGAAGATTCACATGTTTTTCCTAAAAAATATAAAATTTGTTTAAAATATATCTTTCTTATAAGTACATTAACACTATGAATACATTACCCTATGTAAAAATATTTCCTGTGTGATCATGAGATATAGGAACACTTTATTTGATATGAGGAAAATGGAATGATATTTTTGAGCTCAGAATTTGACTTTTCCTACTGTAAAGAATGGATATTACAGTATTTAAAATAATGTACATAAATATTTTAGAAGAAAAAACTATTTATAGAGAAATGACAAATAGTGAGCATATTTAAATGCTTTCTCTGAATTTATTTTCCCTTGTTAGCACTTCTTCATTTTTCAATCTCATAAAGTTACAAATGTCCAGTTATTTTTACTATATAGTTTTCCTTCACACATAAATATTTGCCAAACTACAACCCTTTCTCACTGAAGAAATGCCTCTAATCTCATACATACAAGGAGAATAATATATCAGAAAACACTCAAAACATAAATCCAAATGCATTCCTACAAGACAACAATAAAGACCTCTCTAGGTAGAAAAATATTCCTATCTTCAAGTATTTATTAGTCTGTATGCTCAGCTACAGATTGTGTATACTTTGTCCTATTTATCCTCAAATAATATTTAACAAGCACATTTTTGTTTTTGAAAAGTTTTCTCATATAATATCTTTTTAAACTCTATCACTCAATATTGACTAAGTGCCTGATGTGCAAAGACAATTTCTAGTTCATAGTTCCTACCTTTTAGAAAGGGAATGTGGTAGTTACATAATCTGTTAACAATCTGAGACTATTAAGAGTGCAGGAGTGGAGTTTAGCGTGTCAATCTGGTGGCAGCTTGATAACCTCAATTTGGAGGCACTAAGGAGATAAATAGCTCACTGGAGGTGGGACACACACTCACTGTCTGCAAGACATTTCCGTTGACAAGAGACATGGTGCTACCCTAGAGCTCTGGATCCGGAGGAGTCACATGGAAACCCCTGCCAGCGCTGAGATGCTTCCATTGCCACTGGGTCCACAAGACCTTCTACCCACTGGCCTGTGATCTTCCTGCATTCAGCATCATTGTATGTGTTTTGTGAGTCTGAAGAGGACTTTATAGATTGGTATTGGACATTTGGGCTAATATTGGACTTATGGATTTGATCTGGACTAGGCTGGGATGTTTTCTCAATATTCAACTGCTCTTATATACAAAGCTCTTTCATACATATATGAGTCCCCCTGTATTTGTTTCTCTAGTCTACCCATACTATCACAGGGAACTAAACTATACAACAGAACATTTACATTTTGAAAATGAGAAATAAAAGAGTTTTGGAGGCTAAGATAATGCACACAGAATTATAAAACTATGCCACTGACTAACACAGTCATCCCTTTCCTTATGGAAGCTCTAAAAAGCTAAAATTGAAGAATCAATCACTTGTTGGATACATTTATGGCGACAGTAGCTATGTACTTGGTGCTCTTGTGCATTGCTTATTTGTTTCCTTAGATGTAAATGTGTTTTAATACCAAATCCTTCTCTTACTAAATTTTCCTGTAATAATTCACTTTTTTAACTTAGGCTTTAGATCGTCAATTCTAAGCGCCAGTGAGATGTTACTTTTGTAACATGGTTGTTTTTCATTTAGTGAGCAAACTCATTGCCATCAAGTTGATGCCAAATCATAGGGACCCTGTGGGACAGAGTGGAACTTCCGCTGTGAGATTCCAAGACTGTAACTCGTCAGGGAAGTAGAAAGCATCATCTTTCTCCCTCCAGGGTGGCTGTAGAGTTTGTGATTACCAGCTGGGTATGTAACCACTCTACCACTAGGGATGCTCATTCACTGACAAAGGGAGTTTAATTCAGGTAGTTTATATCTGTAAAGTTACTTTCTATTCCTCTGTATGCATCATACTAATGTCTTTATTAGCTAGCTAAAGGAAGCATATACGTTTTTCAGGCACGACTAGGCTGAATGTTGGATATGCATAATCCATTTCATCATAATAAGTATGCTTAGAACATAGTCAAAGTTTTTGTTTGGCTTGGTTCTGTTTTTGTGGCTTGACTATGCAGCCACAGTTGTTCTGGTTTGAAATTATAAGTGTGAGTCAGACCACTGACACTGCTAACTAAACACTTTTGGTACATCATAGGGTCATAAATACCATGGTCTTTCCTTTGCAAATAAAACTGGGAACCTCCTTACAAGGCAAAATACTGAGTTAACAAGTTCAGAATTCTTTCTATCCTTCAGAATTTTTTCTGTCCTAAGAGGAGAAAATGAAAATAAGCCAGTTACCAATCGAAAGGCACAGGGATTAGCTAATGGGGTATTGCATTCAAGTAAGGTACATGATAATCCTAAACCTGTGCAAAATATCCGGTGCTTCAAACTCATTCATTTGGATTCAACCTTTCTGCTGAAAATGTGCATTTCCACCCCAGCTGTACTCAGTCAGAATCTACCTTTTAACAGACTTCCTAAGTGTGATTCTTATAGATGTCTAGAGGATATTTTTGCTAAAATACAGATTTCTGAGCAGTGCATCTTCCATGGAAACCAAGGCCCCTTGTTGAAGACTTCAAATGGTATTAAAAAGAGACTAAGACATTAAGAAGGGCACTATCATGTACAGTTTCTGAATCCATGGATGCATGTGATTTTAAAGAAAAAGACATACAGATAAAACCCAAATTACTCATTTTATAATACTCAGCTCTATCCATTTTTACAATCCTGTTTTGAAAAGACCACCTTTTAAAATCTTGATTGAAGCAATAACAAACAATAACTACCAGGAAGGTTTGCTTTGTATTTTGATTTATCCCTATGATGTGACCGTTTAATTCCATTGTAAACTACAAGGTAACCCAAAGGGAAGATAGAAACCTCAGAAAAATAAGATTTACCCATTTATTGTCTAGTGATTAACGAAACACTGAACAAAATTAGCAGTAGTTGTGAGAATTAATTTCTTTTAAAAGTTAAAAAAAAATTCTCAGGTGATTTCCACCTCCTCCCCATAATATTACAATATAAAAAAGCACTGGTAAAAGAAAACAAATGTAATCCTCCATTTAACATTTTAATTTTAAAAAATCTTATTTTTCTTTAGAAAGTAATTATCAAGAATGTTTTAAATATTTTTGATGGGTATAAAATGAAGAAATGGTGACATTTATTGTTAAGTTTTGGGAAAAAGTGACTTTTATTTATGGGTGTTAGAATATGATTTATCATGCAAAATGGTAAATTTCATTTAATTAGCAAAATTTAATCTAACAACTGATTTCTAAAAAAATTTAATACTAGAAATTTAGGTTCAAATACACACTCTGGAAATGAAATCATGCTGTTATTTACATTATTTTTAAAGGCCTTTTGTTCTTTTGGGTGAATGAAGGATTGCATCATTTTACTTCGTTAAAAGGTTTTAAATTCATATTTTTAGGTTTACAAAGCTAATGCTCTATGAACCCTATTAGAAGTCAACAATGAAGTCTGAATTATTCTGCACAGATCTTTCTACTTAAATCCCAGCGTTAATGGCATGATGATCATCAAAGAATGTAGCAGTTTGAATTACTCTAATACGCTCCTGGTAAAATAATCTGATGTGTTGAAGCACTGTGAAACAAAATCTTGGATCATTAACTTAATTAATGCTGGAAGTCAATTAACAATAATTGTCAGTGCCTTGAGGCTCAGAGTACTCTTCCTACACTGATAAGTCTTGCACAAAGAAAGGCATCCAGGTCTCTTGAATGCAAGGAGGCTTTCTCCATTAACATATGTTAACTGTCAAAGCAGCTCTTTAAGAGAATAAACTGAGCTCAGTGTTTTGACATCCATCAATTAATTGTGTTGACATACACCATTTATCATAGAGAGAAAGAGAAGTGCTTCAGGAAGTGTGCATTTTTAGTACATCAGGAATGTGAATTGCTCAAGATGAAAATGAATGCACGCACAGAAGCCAGGAAGTCCATACTAGTCAAGCCTATCCTTTAAATTTACAGGAGGAATTTAGCTGTTACCTCCATGCTCAGTGGCAGAATAGAGGATTTTAAATGTTGAGTGTAAGTTAAATTATTGAGATTGTCTAAATTGCCATTGTGGTTTTCAAGCCTAGCCATTTGTCCTTGACTCAGTTCTGATGCAGACAGACCCCCACCCCACACACACACACACACTTGCCCCATATGTTTCAAGGTAGAACTGGCCATAAAGGGCTTTCTTAGCTGTGACCTTGCAGAAACACCTCACCAGCTTTTCCTTCCAAGGCACCTCTGGGTAGATGAAAATCACAAACCTTTTGGTCTGGGCTCAGATAGAGAGGGTGGAGCGGGGCCTGGCGCGTTTCTTTCTGTTGCACATAAGGTCCCATGGGCCAGAACTGACAGGACGGCGGCCCCTAACAGCCCCCAGCTGCGTCTTTTGGTGACTAGTCAGTTGTTAAGCATTTCAACCACATAGCAATAGTGAGGATCCCTTCGATGCGGGGCCGGGGTTGGGGTTGGGGGGCTTTTGGGAGTTAAAATTTTTTGCTTCTTGGCAAAGGTTTGTTTTTTCCTTCCCCCCGGAGGACTTCAGAAACCAAGGCTGTTCAATCTTGACAGTGGCTACAACAAGAGGTCTGAAAAATAGGAACAATGATGAAACCCCTAACCAACCTGCTGCCCCACCAGGCCCTAGCAGCTCCCTGTGCTTCGTGTTGTACTTTGCTCCACTTTCTCTGTTGTTTCAATCTGGCAATTCTGTTAGAATTCATGATACCAGAAAAACTTTGGCTGCTTTCCTTTGAAAGCTTTACAAGTGAGCCACGAACCCACCACCACCACGTGAGGAAGAGAATTCCTTCACAATACCAGCAGCATGTGGGCATGCCCCTCCAATCAAAGGGAACAGTCTGAGAATCAGATGATTTATCTCAAGTCAAATCGCAGCAGAATACTCCCACCCACAAGCCTTGTCTATACAACACACATTGCCCCCGGCAGGCAGATTCTGTTAG